AGGGCATCTCTGACAGAGCAAAGGATTATAGTTTTTGGTAGAGAATAAGTTTTCAATAAAAATCTTTCTCTAGAAATGTCTATACTCTGTTTGTCAGTTTAAACTAAAACTATCTGCACCACCAACTATTATAGTCATCTTTTGATATGTGTAGTGGATTGATTCCAGAAAACCTGCTCCCCATACCAAAATTCTGTGCATATGAGAGTCCCACAGTCAGCCCTGGGGAACTTGAATATATGTAAAGTAGGCCCTGTGTATATGTGGGTTTTGCATCTTGTGAATACTATATTTTTTATCTGCATTTGGTTGAAAAAATCCACCTATAAGTGGACTGGACCAGTGCAGCTCAAACTTATGTTGTTGAAGAATAAATTACATGATGAAGACATACATAGATACAAGCACATACAGAAATTTTCCTTTCACATTTGACCACAGTATGACAAGTGTTGGTATAGATATAGTTTAGTTACAAGAAAATAAATTGCCTGCTGATAACCAGTACAGCCTCCTTCCATGATGAAGTTGAATGTAAGCAGAAAAAAGTGAAATAAAAAGAACGTAGCTGAAAAGCCATACTATGTCCTTTCTTTTCTAGGTTCACATTCTCTTTATTGTTTTCTTCATTGCAAACCTTTCTTTTTAAAGAATTATTCAAAAGGAGCTTGGCAAATTACTACCTAAATGTTTTTTTTAAAGTGCTACCCAATTTGAATAGCACTATGACCTTTTCAACTAAATATGTTACCTGTGACCCAGATCAACTAAATATAACTCTTTAGAGGCCTGTTTTCTATTAAGGAAATTATGTAAGAATATTGCTTTGGTTTTCATTTTGTTCTTGTCTGTTTTTAAATATCGCTTTACTTTGTTAACTAGCTCGGAATATTTATTACTTTGATAATTTTCCTGTTCTAGCTTGACTTGTGATATTATGTACTATCATGTTATTGGTTTTATTGGAGCTGGTTTTGGACAATCCTGTGAAGATGATTGAGATGTTTTAGAAAGAAGTAGTACAGTGTAATGGTTGGGAGCTTGCATTCTGTAGACACATATTGGGGGTTTGAATTTCTGCTTTGTAACTTTAATCTTCAGTGAGTTTCTTATCCTTTATGTAACTCATTTATCTTACCTCAAAATGAGAATAGTAATGGTACCTACCTTATAAGGCTTGTAGGTGCATTAAATGATTCGATATATATAAAGCGCCAAGAAAAGTTCCTGGCACACAGTGAGTGCAAAGTTATGGCAGCATTATATTGAACCTTATGTTCTTCATTTGGGTGGGGTAGACATTTAACAAAATTCTAACTGACACTGTTTCAAATTAATTTCTAGAGTACTGTGTTTTTAAGTATGAAATTTCCACAAAAATTCTGATACAAACAAATGAAATTTTCAAACTTTTAATCATTTCAAGTACTAAACAAGTAACATAGTCAGAACAAATCAGTGCTTCTGGCCTTTTGGAAATATCAAAAAGCAGAATTTGACTGAAGGAAAAGGAGAAAATATAATTGCTTAGGATTTTTGCTTCGAAACTTCTTGGAAATTAAGAAGATAACTGACTAGAGTTATCACAAAAAGAAATAAGGAACTCTAGCAGCACAACAATTTGAAATATTGCTAAACTCATTCAATTGTTTGTATGTTGAACCAAACATATTTAAAATATAATTAAAGCATTTTCCACATATAAACAAATTCCTCTCACTCCACACCAGATGAATGTGTGCAAGGTTCTGTGTTATATTTCATACTAATTAAGGACAAATTACACTTGGAGCCTAATTCGTATTTATTCACATACCAAACACATTTGAATGTTTTATATATCACAGGAGGCATGTGAGGTATTGGAGAGACAAAGTTGAAGAAAACAGGTATGGTTCTTGCCCAGATGGATCTTCCAATTTAGAGAGAGTCAGGATATATATGTATATAAATCAACAGAATACGTAACAGTGGATATCATGTACTATAAAGGAGCTAAACAATAAAATATTATAGGGAAAAGAGAACAATCACTCAGTGAGTAAGCCACTGTCTTTGAGGGCATGGTCAGAAAGCCTCTCTGACTGCACCAAATTTAAGCTAAGACTTAAAAGTTTAAGAAGGAGTTGGCCTAGTGAAAATATGAAGATCATGGGTTGGGCTTTCTAAATCCAAGGATCAGTAGACATTAACATAAAGGCTCTGATATGGAAGAATGTGTGGTGTCTTTCAGTTTCTTTCTGAAGATCAGAATGAGGAAGGGTAGAGTAGCATAAGAGATAGTGTTTGTGGTGGTCAGATCATTCAAGATCTAAGCCATGGTTAATAACATAGATTTTATAGTATAAAAGCAGTAAGAAGTCATTTTAAACAGGATAGTAATGTGATTTGTTTTATATTTCAAAAAGATTACTTTGCTTCCTGTGTAGCTGGTGGAGTGGTGGGGGACAAAGATGGAAAGGAGGGGTCTAAATAGCTAAGTAGGTTTTCAGCGTTCTGAGGAAGAGATAATGATGACATTGACTATGATTATGGTCCTGAGTTTGAGAGAAGCAGACAGATTCAAAAATACTTTGCAGGTAGAACAATTAGGATATATTGATATATTAGATGTGGATTTTTTTTTAAAAAAGGAGAAATCAAAAGGTAATACGTGTTTGTTTTTGTCTTTCTTGATTTGAGCAACTGAGTGAATACTGGCGCAATTTAGAGTAAAATAGAAGACTGGACCAGGCTTAAGAGATACAGAGGAATAAAATATTTAGTTTTGGTTATGTTTATTTAAAGATGTCCCTTAGAAAATAGGCAGTTGGGTTTAATTGTGATTTTAAATGTCTGGTATTTTTTCCACAGAGGAAGATGCTTGTTTCTCAACAAGTTTTATCTCAGGTCTGATATCACTGCGTCACACCATCCTACTTAATTAATGACTCCATAGATGAAAATCATAGGGGACATAAAACTTTTTTTTTTATCAAATGTTGTTTTGTGTCTACCTCATTCCTCAGGATTTCTATGCAACTTGGAAAATTAGTGTCTTTTTTGATATGATAAATGAATATTAACCTACACAGTGCTTCCAGACATGTTCTTATGACTGAGAAGTAAATCTTTCATTCTATTATAATCAGTTCTCCTTTATCATATCAGAAAACTCATCTTCATTCTGGAAATTATATTATTTTTCAGGTTTTTATTCTGAGTATCTTATATAAAATAAAACACTAAAGTTTAGTGAAATTCTGTCTTAAAATGTAAGTGGATTCTGTTCACAGAAAATGTGGGATGTATTGTTTATTGTTACTAGATTAATAAAAAAAATTTTCAGGTAGCTTTCTACTAGTTCTTATTTAAAAAAAGGGGGGGGGAGTGAGGGAGGGTGCTATTTATTTAATAGGTGGGGAGTTGACTGATTCCATAGAATCTGAACAATTGTCATGGGCTGAGAAAGTTCCAGATAATCACCAGGACTCTCATTTTCAACTCTCCCACCCTCGCATAGAATAATAAACAAACAATAACAAATTTTAGACTGTCCTCATTGAAGAATGAGTCTGGCTAAAAGACAGGAGCCAATCACCAATTATCATGAATATTGGGTTTCACTTTAATATTACATTTTCATATGTGGCTTATAGAACCCTTTCATTACTTTGTATCTATGATCAACAGATGTCTTCTGCAAAGAGCCTGATAACACATGTTTGAGGCTTTTCTGGCCATATGGTCTCTCACAACTATGCAACTTTACCACTGTGGTTTTGAGCTAGTGAATTTAGGTGGCACAGTGTGGCTTAAGATGCTCCATATTTTTTGTGAGATTTTTCTAGAGAAATAGGTAAGTTTTACATTGACTCCTGCTAAGAGATTATGATGCAGAGTCACCTTTTAGCTATCACTGCAGAGAAAAGTATGATTCACCTCCTCTTGAGAGATTATCAGGTATGGGAAGCACTAAGGCTGAATATTATTATTACACAAGGAATAGTTACATAATATTATTACATAATATTATTACACAATAGTTCCACCATTGGAACTAGAAGATAGAGGATAAATACTACACTCCTATTTCATCTGAACTGATATGCATGAGTCAGTCAAAAATTAAATTCATTTCTAAAATGTTTTTTAGAATGTCTCATCTGACAACAGCCACAAGATTCTCTTTAAATGTTGGCTTCAAAAGGCAGATGAAAGATAATCATTTCAAACATACCTCTAGAACTCACCTGGTGATTTTCCATTTTCTTGTTCTACTTCTTCTCTAAGATGCCTGAAAAAGTCTGATTTTGGCTAGTTGTCTGTTTTCTCCATTTGTCCTATTATTTGTCCCTCAGTATTTATTCTGCCTCTTAAGACTCTTGGTTTCCTGATTTCTGGTAGTGACCTGATCTTGTGTATATTTCAAACTTACAAGCACACATTCACAAGAGTTAGGACTCTGCAATCAATTGATATAATATTAATAGGATGTTTTTTACTGAGCCCCATGATTTTCTGTATCTATTATATTTTTCCAATAGATTTTGGAACCAGAAATAGCTTACAAGTTAATGAGGAGTCTTATAAACAAATCAATAATCACAATACACTCTAATAAATGTATGATAGATGTTTGATCTAAGATTTTCATTTTGTATAGGTCGATTAAAAGTGACTGTTATAATATTTTGTGCATACTTATAAATGGGACTCTATCTAAGCCTGTGCATCTCCTAAGGACGAAAGTATCATATGGAATTTCTTGCCAGATACCAGTAACAGAATATTAGGGACAAAAGAACTTCAATATTTAGATGGCTTCTTGAAACTACTCCCTCTGGTATTTTAATTGGAAGAGACCAGATTTACTGAAAGTCGGAGAATATCGATTGATAAGAGTACAAAAGGGTAACTAACGATGGACATATTCATTAGTTAGAGCTTGGAACTGGCTTTACTGGGTTGTTCTGGTTCAGAATTTCTCGTGAGCTTGCAGACAAGATGGTGGCCAGTACTTCAATCATTTTGTGATTTTATTGAGAAAGGATGATCCACTTCTCAGATGGATAATTCACATGGCTGTTGGCAGGAGCCTCCATTTATGTTGGCTATTGGCAGGAGGCTTTCATTCCTCATTGTCTGTTGGCAGGAGGTCTTAATTCTTTGCTTCATGGGTTTCTCCATAGGGTTTCTTGAGTGTCCTCATAATACGGCAACTGGCTTCCTTCAGAGACAATGATCTGAGAGAAGGAGAGCAAATAAAGGATGATGTCACAGAACACACTGTCACTTTCACAATCTGCAATTAGTTACACAAGTCAGTCTGATTCAACCACACAAGGGCATGGAGTAGGGAACCTTTGAAGGCTATCTTGGAGGCTGGCCTACCTGAGTAGGGTTGGAATAATGTCAGGGTAGAAGAGGTATATGTGTACAATATGCAACAGATAGGGATTTGCATGAATAGATTTTTATGGCAGTAAAGAAAAACTGGAAAAAATACATAGAATTCAGATTGGAGGCTTGCCAGAAGAAAACTATAAATGGGAAGCTTAACAAGTTAAGAGGTTACTGGAAATACTTGTTGTTGCTATTGGGAAAAACACCCAAACCTTTAATATTGTTTTCAGATCTTCACATGATCTAAATATTAGCTTGTTTTTAAGCCCCAACTCCTAGAATGCTTCTGTATTGCTGTCTGTCTATGCCAGACACATTGACTGGCCTCCTTGAAGATCATTAAATAAGTATGTTCCTGCCTTTAAACATGTGCCCTACATTTGGAATGCCTTTCCCACCCTTTTACCTAATTATCCTCTATTCAGCCATCATATTAAACTCAACCACCAGTTCCTCCAGCCATAACCTTTGGTCTCAGGTTGTCTAGCTATTTTCTCATGTATGACTGTATCTATTACTGTCATCATCATCATCATTTCAGGGACATTTTTAACGTTTTTAATTATACAACTATCAGTGTCCTTAATCTCTAAACTAAAGTTTAAGCTAGATAAGAAAAAAAAAATCATATCCGACCATTCCATGTGCCAAGCACAGTGCCTGGTAAATTAGAAGGACTTAGTCATTTCTCATTTAAAGAAGCACTTAGTCATTTCTCATTTCAAGAATAAATATACTACTTCCTGAGATAGATGATAAGGATATGAATTAGTGTGATGGTAAGAAGGTAGAAAGTAGATGGCACATTCAAAACAGACGTTAAATCAAAACAAAGGCATGAAGGAAAGAGAGTCATCCAGAATAATGATAAATATCTGATATTTTAAAACTGAACAATAGTAAAAGATTATAGAACAAAATAAGAATATAAAATGAAGGCATTAACTCTGAGAATTTTATTAATCAGACCCCAACCAGGAGCACAGTAAATACACTGTGTTAATTTCTATTATTGCCCCTTACCTCCAAATTCACTCCTCAGTGCCTGCTCAGCTGTAATGGACTGATCGCTTTAAACATTTCTGTTTAAGCACAGCACCATGTTAAGCTTTGTCAATAGAGGGCACTGGAGTCACACTACAGAAGGAAGGGGATTCTCTTCCCAGTTTTGGCTGTTTTGCTTTGGATTTTCAGCCCTCTCTGGCTCCCGCTGCAGTCTTTCTGCTGTGTGGGTGTGTAAGAACATTCAGTGATGCCTAGTCCAGACACACACCCTAAGGGCACAGTCCGTCAGTGACCTCATAGGCCCTGCCTAAGCCCTGTGACTACCTTCCCAAGGCTTCTTATCTCCACCCGAACATACTGACACTGCATGCTCCAAGCCCACAACACCCACAGAGTATCCAGATTTCCTCTGTGTACTTGCCGACCAACCTGGCTTGCCAGCACCCTGGAGGTTTAGCTTTGTCCCAGGCAACCTAACAAACTTCTCTGCTATTCCACGAGCTGCAAACATGCCTTCTCCAAGATGAGAACTCAGCCCTGAAGAGGGTCCCACTTTCTAAGTTTGTCCTTCCTTTGAAAGTCAGCCTCAGCGTAGGGTTCCCTTTAGAATTGTTTCTGTATCTTTATAGTTGCTTTCCTATCATAGTTTAATAATTATTTCATATTAAATTCCTGTTAAATTTACTGCGTGGTTTCTCTTTCCTAGTAAAGTTAAAGAATCTATACCAACTTACTGTTAAAATAAAGAACATTTATGCAGGGAACTGGTAATGCAACTCTGAAATGCTGAGAAGCCAAAGGTAGGCCTCTGAGGCAACTCATAAACCAGCATCTGCAAGAAGTTGCCACCTTTTGAAGTCTGTAGGGACAAAGAGAAGAGGCAGTATTACAAGGGCCAAGATGACACACTTCAAGAAAACGATGTCAACCTCTCTGGCAAAATCTAGAGCTACAGAGGAGAGGCCATTTTTATCGGAGTCCCTGTCTGGCTTTTCCTTTTCTTCGTCTGACAATTTCTTGTAGGCGTCTCCCATTGTTTGAAACCAGCTGGCAACCAGCTTACAAGGGAACCCAAGAATGCATCTCGGAGATGGCCCGTCTGCAGTAGGTGGAAGATGAAGAATGGATCCCATAGCAAAAAGACCAATGACTGGCAGAGATATACTCAGGTCTATGCATTAATAACCTGATTCCCAGGAGAACAATGTCCTTTGTTATAATGTTTTTCCATGTTTCTGATGTAACTGTTCTTACTGTGGGTGATTTCAAGAAGTAAACGTGAATGTCACTGGACCCTGAGTCTGGAAGGGATGCACCCTAGCACACCATGTATAGCAGTTCCACTGTGCAAATTCAATAGGTAAAACTACCTCAAGATTATAGATGACATTAGCATAATAAAACAATTCAAAAGTAATGATTTATGTATTACTTATGACACTTCTGATTCTAAAATAACTTATTAACTCTAATTTTGTATCATTTGCTGTTTAATTATATCTATGTTTAACAATTGGCTCTTGTGAGCGAGTGTGAGCTTGCTGGGGCACATGATTTGACTTTTTGGGCGTCCCTTGAGAGATCAGGAGTAGACACTTAGCCAAACAGATCTGACACTTAGGAAAGTATTCCAGCGTGGTGATTGAGATTTGGGAGTTATCACTAAGTAGGTGATACTAAGAACGATGGGAGAGGGACATGAGAATCTACATGAGGTTGGAGTTTACATTCTTGGCTATTAATCAATATTTAAGCCATGGCGATACCTGCAGAAGAACTTCTTGAAGGAAACTGATGAGGAATGTTCAGAAACATAAGACAAGACCAGGCACCCTTCAAATTGATATTTCTTCCCTATTACATTTATATCATGAATTTTAGGAAATTCAATATATAAAAATGATGCTTATACCTATGTCACATTTTTAACTCAGGAAAAACATGCTGTAAATATTAATGAATGCAAATTTTTCTAATTCTGAATCACATTTTTAGTGTCCATACCTTTTAAAAATGTAAATATTATGTCACTATCAGAAGTTTAGAAAAGCTGTTAACTCTGAGAAGTACATTTCCTTTCCTTTCCTGAATACAGTTAATTTCATTGTGTGGTCTTAATTGATGTTCAAATGATAATCGTATATATTAAAAGAAATATCAAAATATTTTTTGAGAAACAAACAGTTTTGCTGTATAGACATTTTATTTTGATCATTAGTTACAATTTATCACAGAAGGAGTATTTTAAGATTTATAGGATTATTTATAATCACATATATCTGGTGTGGTGGTGATTGAATATTGAGTATCATCGAGTTTTTTAAAAATAAAATTGACTTCTGAACTTTTATCAAGTAAGTGCACGCAGATATGTATGACATTTTTGTCCCTATGGCATACTTAGATTATGATTTTTCAAAACATACAAAAATAAAAGCTCCCTTGCTCAATTTATAATTCCAAAATGGCTAGAGTCAAAACAAAAAAAAAATGTGCTTATAAAAAAATTCGCGAGGAAATCAGGGGCATTTCTTTATTACACCAAAAGACTATTAGTTAACAAAGGATTTATCATAGAGTTTCTTTAAGTAAAGACATTTCAATATATTTAAACTATGATATATTATATTAATAAATATGCACATATTAATATATGTAAATATTTAATATGTACTTTATATAGATAACATATCAATACATACTTATATGTGTATGTGTTTTTAGATTGCTCCTTTTCAAGAATAAAAGTATTCCTTTAACCTAAAAAGTATAGCATGCACATAAATATTGTATTTTTTTAAGTATAGGTATTGGCATCTTGAAGAAACTGCTTGTTATAATCAGCAATACCATTCATTTAATAACAAAATTTCTTTAAAACTTCAGAAGCTGATACCTAGATACTATAATGAAAGTTAAACATTTCAAAAGCAACAAGTTAATCCACAATTTTAAAATATGCATGGTTACAGAGGACACGCTCCTAGATACTGATAGTAACCGAAGGGAAGAGGGTAAAAGGGAACTTGCTTATGGTCGTTTATAATTTACCTACTTCTGAAATATTATTCTCAGCCCTCCATGCAGACATAATCTGGGCAAGAGATGAAAAACAAATATGGCAGGGGCTGCTAATTTCACTTTTGATTGACATAATCAGGAGGGGAAAGCTAGGCCGTTGATTTTTCTACCTGCGAATTGTTACTTTATTCCCTTACTGTGGAGATGGAGGGAAAGAGAACTTCCTCTATTCCTAAGTGGCAGAAAGTCTCTCAGGAGGTTATTTTACATATGTATCAGAGTCACTGTCAGACCCCTTCCTAAAGGTGAATGTGGCAGGACGTGGTGGCTCAAGCCTGTAATTCCAGCACTTTGGGAGGCTGAGGCGGGTGAATCATGAGGTCAGGAGATCGAGACCATCCTGGCTAACATGGTGAAACCCCATCTCTACTAAAAATACAAAAATTAGCTGGGCGTGTGGTGGCGGGCGCCTGTATTCTCAGCTACTCGGGAGGCTGAGGCAGGAAAATCGCTGGAACCCAGGAGACAGAGGTTGCAGTGAGCGGCGATCAAGCCACTGCACTCCAGCCTGAGCAACAGAGCCAGACTCCATCTCACAAAAAAAAAAAAAAAAAAGGTGAACACTCATGAGGGAATGCAGTCAGACTTTGAAGGTTACCACATGCCACTTGCCATACAATTAACAAAGGACTCTACGTTGTTTTTGGCTTTGTAATATAAACATATTTTTATTAATAATCTATATGATTCTTACATTACTCATAATTTGAACTCATCAAGAAACCGTGTAACTTTCCATTATTATTAACTCCCCGCCCCCACTATTTGGCAAAGTTTTCTTTTTTTCTTACAAAGAAATAAAGGAAATAAGGTAGAAAAACTGGACAATTTAAGAGTGATTAAGCATGTTAAACTTTATTCTGAACTTTTGCCAGGAAAAAGCTCAAAGAACCTGACTCTCAGTGTTGACCATGTGAATTTTGGAAGTCGTCAGACCAAAATGTGCCTTCATGCAAACCTTTAATTAAATATGGAGAATTTAATTTACTTTGATAACTTTAGGGTTTTCAAATATGTCCAGAGAAAGGAAATCAACACAATCAAATTATCCAAACAAAGGCCATTTTTGCCAATATTACCTGGACAATAAGAATAGATTTTTTTTCCCTAAATTTTCTACAATGAACATGTATTACAATAAGAAAAAAAAAAGAATGCTTCTTTCTCCTAAACATTCAATGTTTCACTAGTTTTTAATTGTATTTACTTAGTTTTTTTGAGTCACTGTCTTGCTCTTTGACTGAGGCTGGAATGCAGTGGTGCAATCACAGTTCACTGCAGCCTCAAACTGCTGGGCTCAAGTGATCCCCCCACCTCAGCCTCGCAAGTAGCTGGGACTACAGACGCATGCCATCACCCCTGGCTAATATTTAAATTTTTTTTGTAGAGATAAGGTCTCGCTATGTTGCCCAGGCTGGTCTCAAACTCCTGCGTTCAAATGATCCTCTTATTTCATTCTCCCAAAGTTCTATGATTACATAAGCCACTCCACCTGGTACACACTAGTTTTTAAATGACTGATTTGCTACATAACGATATAAAAAAAAGATGGGGCACATGTGCCGCTTTTCTTAGAAAATATATTCTGTTGTAAGTTCTCTGTGAAAAAAAAAATCATCTCTGTACTGGTCTTAGTCAATCTGGGGTGCTATAACAAAAATACCGTAAGTCGGTGGCTTAAACAAAAATTAAATTCTCATAGTGCTTATTAGTCCAAGATTAAGAAACCAGCAGATTTGGTATCTGGTGAGGGTTGTCTTCCTGGTTCATAGCCAGCTATCTTCTCATTGTGTCCTCACATGGCTGAAAAAGTAAATGAAATCTCTGGGGTCTCTTTTATAAGGGCACAAATCTCATTAATGAGGCTCTGCCCTCATCACCTAATCACCTTCCAAAGACCCCATCTCCTAATAAGATCACCTCAGAAGGTAAGATTTCAACATATGAATTTTGAGGGAACACAAACATTTAGATATTGACATTTTGCTCCTGGTCTCCAAAGTTTATATTCTTCTCAC